GATATAATAGGCATCACAGAAACCTGGTGGAATGAGGATAATCAATGGGACACAGTAATACCAGTATACAAAATATATCGGAAGGACAGAACAGGTTGTGCTGGTGGGGAAGTGGCACTATATGTGAAAGAAAGCGTAGAATCAAATGAAGTAAAAATCTTAAATGAACTAAACTGTATGATAGAATCTCTATGGATAATAATCCCATGCTTGAAAAATAAGAATATAGTAGTAGGGCTATATTACAGACCACCTGACGAGGATAGTGTTAGTGACTCTGAAATGCTCAGGGAGATCAGAGAGGCTATAAAACTCAATAATAATAATAATAATGGTGAATTTCAAGTATCCCCATATTGACTGGTTACATATCACCTCAGGAAGGGATGCTGAGATAAAGTTTCTTGACACCTTAAATGACTGCTTCTTGGAGCAGCTGGTCCTGGAACCCACAAGAGGAGAGGCAATTCTTGATTTAGGCCTAAGTGGAGCACAGGATCAGGTCCAAGAGGTGAATATAGCTGGACCGCTTAGTAATAGTGACCATAATATAATTAAATTTAACATCCCTGTGGCGGGAAAAACTCCACAGCGGCCCAACACTGTAGCATTTAATTTCAGAAAGGGGAACTACACAAAAATGAGGAGGTTAGTGAAACAGAAATTAAAAGGTACAGCGCCAAAAGTAAAATCCCTGCAAGCTGCGTGGAAACTTTTTAAAGACACCATAATAGAGGCTCAACTTAAATGTATACCCCAATTTAAAAAAAATAGTAAGAGAACCAAAAAAGAGCCACTGTGGTTAAACAACAACTGCTAAAAGAAGCAGTGAGAGGCAAAAGGCATCCTTTAAAAAGTGGAAGATAAATTCTAATGAGGAAAATAGAAAAGAGCATAAACTCTGGCAAATGAAGTGTAAAAATATAATTAAAAAGACGAAAAAAGAATTTGAAGAACAGCTGGCCAAAGACTCCAAAGTAATTGCAAACAATTTTTTAAATACATCAAAGCAGAAAGCCTGATAAACAACCAGTGGGGCCACTGGACGATTGAGATGCTAAAGGAGCACTCAAAGACAATAAGGCCATTGCAGAGAAACTAAATGAATTCTTTGCATCGGTCTTCACTGTTGCGGCTGTGAGGGAGATTCCCAAGCCTGAGTCATTCTTTTTGGGTGACAGATCTGAGGAACTGTCCTAAATTGAGGTGTCATTAGAGGAGATTTTGGAACAAATTGATAAACTAAACAGTAATAAGTCTCCAGGACCTGATGGTATTCACCCAAGAGTTCTGAAGGAACTCAAATGTGAAATTGCAGGACTACTAACTGTCATCTGTAACCTATCATTTAAATCAGCTTCTGTACCAAATGACTGAAGGATAGCTAATGTGATGCCAATTTTTAAAAAGGGCTCCAGAGGTGACCCTGGCAACTACAGGCCGGAAAGCCTCACTTCAGTACTGGGCAAATTGGTTGAAACTATCGTAAAGAACAAAATTGTCAGACACAGAGGAACATAATTTTCTGGGAAATAGTCGACATGGTTTTTGTAAAGGGAAATCATGCCTCACCAATCTACTAGAATTCTTTGAGGGGGTCAATAAGCATGGGGACAAGGGGGAACCAGTGGATATAGTGTATTTAGATTTTCAGAAAGCCTGTGACAAGGTCCCTCACCAAAGGCTCTTAAGCAAAGTAAGCGGTCATGGGCTAAGAGGGAAGGTTCTCTCATGGATTGGTAACTGGTTAAAAGATAAGAAACAAAGGGTAGGAATAAATGGTCAGTTTTCAGAATGGAGAGAAGTAAATAGTGGTGTGCCCCAGGGATCTGTACTGGGGCCAGTCCTATTTAACATATTCATAAACGAACTGGAAAAAGGGTAAACAGTGAGGTGCAAAATTTGCAGATGATACAAAACTACTCAAAATAGTTAAGTCCCAGGCAGACTGCGAAGAGCTACGAAAGGATCTCACAAAACTGGGTGACTGGGCAACAAAATGGCAGATGAAATGTAATGTTGATAAATGCAAAGTAATGCACATTGGAAAACATAATCCTAACTATACATATACAACGATGGGGTCTAAATTAGCTGTTATCACTCAAGAAAGAGCTCTTGAAATCATTGTGGATCGTTCTCTGAAATCATCCACTCAGTGTGTAGCGGCAGTCAAAAAAGCAAACAGAATGTTGGGAATCATCAAGAAAGGGATAGATAAGACGACAGAAACTATCATAGTGCCTCTATATAAATCCAGGGTATCCCCACATCTTGAATACTGCGTGCAGACATGGTCGCCCCACCTCAAAAAAGATATATTGGAATTGGAAAAGGTTCAGAAAAGGGTAACAAAAATTATTAGGGGTATGAGGAGAGATTAATAAGACTGGGACTTTTCAACTTGGAAAAGAGGTGCCTAAGCGGGGATATGATAGAGATCTATAAAATCATGACTGGTGTGGAGAAAGTAAATAAGGAAGTGTTATTTACTTCTTCTCATAATACAAGAACAAGGGGCCACCAAATGAAATTAATAGGTAGCAGGTTTAAAACAAACACAAGAAAGTATTTTTTCATACAACGCACTGTCAACCTCTGGTACTCCTTGCCAGAGGGTGTTGTGAAGGCCAATACTATAAGAGGGTTCAAAAGGGAGCTAGACAGATTCATGGAAGATAGATCCATCAATGGCTATTAGCCAGGATGGGCAGGAACGGTGTCCCTAGCCTCTGTTCGCCAGAAGCTGGGATTGGGTGACAGGGCATGGATCACTTGATGATAACCTGTCTGTTCATTCCCTTTGGGGCACCTGCCATTGGCCACTGTCAGAGGACAGGATACTGGGCGTGATGGACCTTTGGTCTGACACAGTATGGTGGTTATTATGTTCTTTCAGTGACCACAAAACCCACCAAATGCCTCTCTCCTTTGGAGCACCTCTGTCATTGTACAACTGCCTTCTCCCCAGAGCTGTGAGGACTGGTCTGAATGCAGCAATGCTCTGTGGCAGCAGTTCTCAAACTATGGGTCGGGACCCCATTGTAATGGGATCACCAGGGCTGGCATTAGACTTCCTGGGGCCCAGGGCAGAGGCCCGAACCTCACAACCCAGGGCCGAAGCCAAAGCTCAAGCCCCACTGCCTGGGTTTTGGCTTTGGCCCCCTTGCCTGGGGTGGTGGGGCTCAGGCAGGCTCAGGCTTTGGTCCCGGGGTCATGTAGTCATTTTTGTTGTCAGAAGGGGGTCACGGTGCAGTGAAGTTTGAGAACTGCTGCACTCTGGTAGTCATTACGGGGCTGTGACACAAGCTTTCATAAAGCAGAATCACGTAAAGCCATTACGGGATGGGACTGTTTGATGCTTTGGACCATCTGTACAAGACTTCAAGAACTGGTTCAAATACAAAAGCAGCTGCTGTATATTGTCCCTCATGCTCCCATTTACACTACAACATAATCTCTATAATCACTGCTGGCTCCCAGCCTCATTACTTCAACATTTCACTGCACTGAAATGCATGAGCCATTTATCCAACCCTAAGCTGAAACCTTTTCATAGCATTGTCAATGCAATCTATGATTCCACTGTGTTTACTGGTCCCCTTTTTCGTATCTGCAGCCAGTAGAGCCACATTTGGCATCAAGCCCTCTTCAAGGTCATTGATAATTATTTTAAGCTAAAGCACCCCTCTCTCCCAACTCAAAATATTGGCCCTTGTGACATCCAGCACAGCACAGAGAAGTTCTCCAATTACAAAGACCCTCTAACTATTTAATTCCTCCCTATCCTAAAAATGTGCAGCTGGAAGGTACCTTGGGAAGTTCAGGGTCTAGGCCTGTAATGGAACAGAACAGATTTTGTTTCAGGCAATGAAATGACTGCTACAATACACCATTCTAACCCCTTCAGGGCACTTGTTTCACCAAAGCAAGGAATCTTATCTGACACAGTTATGCAACTACTTAACAACTCCTGGCAGCCAAAATTTTGGCTATTCCAAGAACACCGTATCCCTGCAATCTGCTAACCCCAACAGTATTAACGTATCTTGACTCTGCTCTGTTCTCCTCACCTTTTCTTCTTGCTGATGATCATGTCTATGGTTTGTAGGAGACGGCGCTCCAGGGCTAGAATATCTGCATCTGTCACATTCCTGTAACATACACACAATACCCCATTAGCCTTGGTACTCCACTCCAAGGAGAATGTGAATAAGGAAAAGCATATGGGACAAACAAACTGGAACTGAAGAGTCTATGTGAGGACAGCATACATCAGTGATGGAAGGGGTCTTGCAGTGTAGATGGGACAGCTAAAATCAGCAGGCTTGGGGGGACAGGAAAGGAAGGCCCAGGACCAAACCTGGACAGTGTCCTAGGGGAATCTGAGAGAGTGCACACACGGGAAGAAGGAAAAAGTCTCAAGGAGTGTACAGAATAAAATTCCAAGAGGCTGTGGTTACCTGAGAAAGTAGGACATGTATGTGTATGGACAGTTAACTGCACCAAATCCAGAAAGCAGAGCCATGAGTGTCACCCCAATCACACCCACTCGGCTAATGAGCTGCTCTATGGACAGGATTCCTGAAAAAGAGAAGACAATGTAAATAAGGGGTTGCTTTTACTGTACTTCTTTACACTTTGGTGTCCTCATAAAAGACTACAGTACTCATTCAATTACTTAGCCAAACTAATTGCCTTCAGAATCCAGGTACCAGAGGTGATTCAAAGTGTATACAGGCAGGGGGTGGGGAGAGAAGGAAGAGAATGCTCTCCCAGGGAAGTATGTGAAACTCTCGGACAGGAAACCAAGGCTAAACAGAGTCTGTAGGAGACTGGGAATGGGCTGCACATTACACTTCCATTCTAAATCACTAGCCCAGAAGTGACCAATTTTTGTCATATGATGGCTGCTTGGTGGTCTTAGTTTACTTTCTGGCAGACATCTGTCCATGTCACAAAGCCCACTCCTACAACTAGCATGTATGGCACCAAGGGTATCATTTTCAGCAAAGAGACCAAGAATTGACGAGACTAGAGAGATCAAAACTGGCCCCTCTCTCGTAGAAGTGATCCCTCCACATCAGATCTGACATGTGCTTATAGGGCATGGGGTTAGGGTAGAGAGAAGCTGCTGCTGATGCTGGCTGTGCTATATCCATCTGGTGGATACAGAGACTACCAGAGGCGCTATCTGTAACAGATATGGCAATTTCCTGCAATATTCCTGAAAGACTTATGGCATTACATTTAAGTATTATTGTGAAACAGGATTGTATGTAACATCTTCATGGGGGAGATATTACAACTCCAAGCAGTACCTTTGGGGTCCACTGTTTTACATGAATGATTTAAGTATGATCATGTTCTACTCCATGAGGCAGGGCTGCCTCAGCTCCTTGTACACTGCGTGGTAATTGGGCAAATTCAATCAGGTGGTACCTCCAGAGAGGTACCACCACCTAGAGAGGCTCACATATACTGATCCAGACTGGATTCTCCAGAGACCAACAGATTAAAAAAAAGGACTTTGGGATAAATAGCCTGAGTTTAAATTGACTCAGGGTCTTCCTTCTGATCCAGCAAATGGACAGGACCTGCTGTCTAAGGGGGACACCAGTCTTCCTGGCAGGGGTAGGAAGGTCTTTAGCCTACTGAGGCCCCATAAGACTCATGGGTGAGCGCCGGTAAGCTTTTAATATGTATATAGGAGCTTTTATTGTTTTTATATATTTTCTCTGTTATGAGAATACACACGAGTGCTTAGAAAGTGCTGTGTGGTAACTTACAACTGCTGGCAATTACATTGTTCATAGCATTTGAAGAGAGAGCAAAGAGCAGACTCTGGCCTGGTTAGGCAGTCTGACTTGCAGGGGAACTCAGTGTAGGCAAGGAACAGTGCAGCCTGGAAAACCCTGGTCAGGAGAGATAGAGACATGGTTCACCAAGAGAGGTGACTGCTGAGGAGCCCGTAATGGGTGCCCTCAAAGGACCATGGAGGGGGAATACGGGTGCAGTTGCCATGAACTGTGACACTGTCACTCTGGCATTTTTTATTAGCGCTAAAGTCACACTAAAACATTGAAATAAAACACAGACTAAGGCTCTGCATTGCAACCAAGGCAGTTAAAATACTAAGATTCATTTGTCCTTCCCAACTTTCTATTGCCAGCTACAACCACACACCAGATTTTCATAGAAATCTGGTATCATGGACTAGTAAACACCACTCACCTTTGGGGAACGAGATACAAAGCAGCAGCCATACACTGCACATTTGGAGCTTATATGATTGTGAAGCTGAGGTGGCTGAGAGCCAGGCCACATTTCATGCTTCAGGGAAGGAAAATAAATGATGAAAACAATAGCAAAGGGCCTTAACAAAAGGGGCTTGACCACAGAGTCATATGCAGCCACATGCAGATTTACACCAGTTAGAGAGCAACAATACATTGGCCTTTTGCCCCACATGCTGTTATATACAGGAGCAGGTAAAATATAGATGCTTTTAAAAATGACGTGTTCAGCTGCTTAAAGCAAGATATCCCAAGCTTTTCCTAGCATTCTTCCTTTTGTGATCAGAGAGGTGACATACAAAGTGTTCATTTTATAAAGTCAGAATGGGGGCCAACAAAAGTTTTAGTGGAAAACTAATTAAAGTAAATACTAATCACAGTGGTGATGCAACAGAGGACGCTCTTCTCTTATAGTCTCTCTGTGCCAATGCCTGCATATGGTACTAAGGGGCACCATGTGGCTGTAAGTGTTGTCTTTAAGAGCAGATGTAAAAAAAATGAGATTCTTGAAATTTCCAGTGGTCAATGATTCCATGACACTTTTACACATAGATTAAGAGGGTTAGCTCCAGTGCCCTGGCCAAATTCCAGTTGGCTGGTTACATTCTGCCAAACCAAGCTCTTCCTGCAGCTTTAAATGGATACACCAGGAATCAGCAACCTTTGGCATGCGGGCCGCCAGGGAAAGCCCCTGGCAGGCCGCGCTGGTTTGTTTAACTGCCGCGTCCGCAGGTTCAGCAGATTGCAGCTCCCACTGGCAGCGGTTCGCCGTCCCAGGCCAATGGGGGCTACGGGAAGCAGCGGCGACCGAGGGATATGCTGGCCATGACTTCCCGCAGTCCCCATTGGCCTGGAGTGGCGAACCGCGGCCAGTGGGAGCTGCGATCGGCCGAACCTGTGGACACGGCAGGTAAACAAACCAGCTCGGCCCGCCAAGGGGCTTACCCTGACAGGCCGCGTGCCAAAAGTTGCCAATCCCTGGGATACACACTACTTTCCTGCAGTTCCTTAAACTGCTATGCAATGTTGCTCTACACTATTGAATAGATACTGTATTCAATCCCAGAGAAAGGTGGATTTCAGTGGGATGTGAAGTAATCAGGCATTCTCTCTCAGGGTACGTCTACACTACCCGCCGGATCGGCGGGTAGCAATCCATCTATTGGGGATCGATTTATCGCGTGTAGTGGACGCTATAAATCGATCCCTGATCGCTCTCCCGTCGACTGCTGAACTCCAGCTCAGCGAGAGGCGGAAGCAAAGTCGACGGGGGAGCCGCGGCTGTCGATCCCACGCCGCGAGGACGCGAAGTAATTCTAAGTCGATCTAAGATACGTCAACTTCAGCTACGCTATTCTCGTAGCTAAAGTTGAGTATCTTAGATCTATCCCTCCCCCCACAGTGTAGACCAGGCCTAAGAGAGAAAAAATGTTTTAGAATCACAGGTGAAATCTTTCAGCTATTATAGGGTCAGGCCAGCCTGTTAATTTCTCCTTTCTTCTTGGTTTCTTTCAATGCTGGGGCTCATCAAATGAGGGAGAATTCATCCATTAAGCATTTAAGGCCTGATTCTGCAACCACCTCTGTGCACAGAATCCTCACTCATTTCAAAAGGAGCTGGAGAACAACATGGTAACAAAAATCAGGACTCGAGAATTCAGTACTGACTATTCAGTAATGGGTGTTGATTTTTCTAAGTTCTCTTCTTCCATGGACTTGCTTTAGCACCCGCAAGAAAAGAAAGAGTAAACATGGTGGTCAACATTTAGGTCTTACATTTTGGGGACTCTGCCCCCAGCAAAATGCAAGCAATGTTAAGTTCCTCTGGATTCCAGATTCACCCAGGACCTTCCTGACCTGATATATTTCCGCTGTTTTCTGGAGGGAAAACAATACAAATGAATTAGGTAGTCCAGTTGTTTGGACCTGTGTTGTGGTGACATTAAAGGTTCCTGGGGGTTTCCTGACTTTCAGAGCTTATTCTCAGGAGTAAGCAACCAGCTATGGAATGTACTTCAGTTCACAGAGTAGCCAAGAGCCAGACAGTGAAATGCTGAAGCACTATCTATGCGGAGGAGAAGGAGGAGAAAGCAAGAAACATACATATGAAAACTCACCATGTTTTGGGCTGAGGATAGGAAATGGATCTCCCAGTTTCCAGAAGAAATACATGAATGTCAACCAAACAACACAGGCAAAGAGCAGCCTTTGCCTATGCACTGAGAAAAGGGGAGAGAAAACAGGCATTGTTAGGAAGTTCCTGTGTCTAGGTTTCATGAAAGGCTGCAGAATCACTACATTGGTCTCAAGATTGTGTTGCGTAGAGATGATTAAAACTGGAGCAATCTAGCACTGCTACTGTGCTAGCAGTATCTAGTACTGTAACTCTTATGAAACTGGCCAACTCTAAATGGCTCAATCACCTGACAGGCATAGTCAAGAGCAGGGAGTAATGCAATTAATCCTCTTTTTGGAGCTCTGGGACAGCCAGCTCCTCAAGGAGGTATAAACGATCCTGAAGCTCGCACACACTGGGACGACATATGCTGCCACATCTCTTAAGGAGATGCAATATGCATGATCAGCTGTTCTAACTTGGGCAGGGGTAGGGCAGAGCCCTGACTCCACTTCTGTTGATACTTCTTTCCCCCACTAGCAGGGCTAGGGCCTGTAGCATGCTGCAAGGCAGTGGTTCTCAACCTATTTACCACTGTGGGCTGCATATGCAGCTCTCTATATCTAAGTAGGCCACAGCCACACAATATATAAACTACTCGTATGGCCCTAAGGATGTCAAATAGGTCACAGCTATGTGCTGATTGGGCTGCAAGCAGCCCACAGGCTGAGAACCTCTGCTGTAAGGGAACAGTTCCTGTACTTGGAAGAGTCTGTGGACTGCATCTTGCCCTTCTGCTGTACAGGGGAGAGGGTGAGGGGACCCTAGTGTTGGAGGACCCTAGCCCTACTTGTGAATGCACACAGAAGATTGGGTTAGAACGTGTTATAACTGACAGGGTCGGTGTGTGCTCATATGTGACCCAGGCTTTACGATTTGTAACTATAAGCTTTTCCTGACCTCTGATCACAAAAAATGCTTGTTAATTAAAAATATTTTTAAACAAACAAATTTTCCAAAAGAAATTAAGCAATCGTGTGATTAAAGGCCAATGGGAGGGAATGTTTAAATCCATCAATGAAGAATGCAGCTGGGGAACCCAAAACACCATCAGAATTAACAATGCTTCTGGAAAATATTACAAGGAATACAAGGATTAATGAGCAGATCAAAGTTCTGAGTTTAAAAACACCTGCAGGAGAAATGGAAGACACTGGAGGCTAAGTAGTAAGAACACACAGCGGGAAAGAGGTAATGGAAACACTAAAGTCAATTGGGTTGCGCAGGCTGCAAGTCAGCACAGAATACTGCCCATTGTCTAAGAACTGAACAGCTTCTAGGATTCTGGGGTGGGGAGGAGAGAGAGAGTCATTAGCCACTAGAAGGTGTGACCTGGTCAACACCCACTACACGTCCTCTGCCAGGAACCTCATCTTCATCCCAGTCAGTGCACGCACCCACCCTCCACTCTAAGCTGTAACAGAGAGATGCTGAACATCAGCAGCTAAGGCTGGGGAAGGACTAGCATATAGGAGAGTAAGCAGCAGCAGACAGGTATGTCAGCCAATGAGGAGCTTGAGTCCTCATCTTAGGAAGGTTGGGGAGAAGAGTGAGGACTAATTTAACTAGACTTCCATGTGTCATTTGACTTCCCCCCAAAACAAGACAGTCAACGCAAGGGCTCTAAGGACCAACTGACCTGCAAATAGTAAAGCAACAAATTCCAATAATGTTACCAACAGGCACCAATCACCTCCAAGAACTGAGAAAGGGAAGAAAACATGAAGAAAAATATCATCTGCAGGTATCATGCAGAATGTCTTCCAACCTGCTTAGTGGGGGCTCTGAGCCCAGAGAGGTATTGGGACTAGAATCTGGTGCTTTATATTTACCGATCAGCTTCAATATAAACAAAGACTGAAAATCAAGCAAATGCAAGAAAGAGGAAAATGGGGGGGAGGGGTAACAAAGCTAAAAGAAAGAAAGGTGAAGAGGCAGAAACATGGCTGAAAGGAAGAACCGAAATAGCAGTTGCTGATGTTGAGCAAGAAGAAATAAATAATAATCAGCTCTTATGTAGTGAGACAATTTACTGAATACCGATATTTTTAATGATCCCCCTTGTTTAAAGTATTAAGGGCCAATGGTTGATTTAATTACTTCCAGAGTGAACAGTCTGTCACACTGGAAGTCCTGAGAACTTTCAGAGACAGGTAAAGAGGAGCTACCCAGTCAGAACTGCCAGAGTAGGGAGAAAAATGAGACATCTTTCAAAGAGAAAGGGGCCTGTCCCCCATTGTGAGGCATAATTCTCAAACCTAGCAATCTCACTGCTGTAAATCTGTATACTCACATAGTCTAATATTGCTCACAATGAAGTAGCCAATATAAAAAGGCACCATGAAGACTAGGACGAGCAAAATCACACACAGGTTCAGTTTCCAATGAAAATACCGGGAACTGAAAAGGAATCAAAAGATTGGTCAGAGCCTGATCATAATGCAAAGATTTCCTCTTAAAGCTGAACACATCTCACCCCTCCCCTTCAGACTAAGTTGCACTAGATAACACCCGCCTAAAAGCAGCACACTGGGACACCCCAAATTGGATCTTACTCTAGAGCTCACAAATGTTCATAAAAAAGCAATTGGCATACCAGAACACAGCAATGGGCTATCTAATCAAGATTTCCTTTTATCCATTTTAAATGTGTTGCGTTTTAATTTCCTTGAGTGCACTCTTATTCTTGTATCATGGGAAAAGGTAAGTCGGAGCACCCAGCCGGCAGCTTCTATATTCCTCTGTTCAATATCCTCTTTTTCTATTCCTTTCTGAAGTAAGCCTAATACTTTGAACTCTCTTTTTATACGGAATCCCTTAGTGCATGTCTTCAGTCATTTTAGATTAGTCGAGCAATACTGATTATAAGGTGCGAACGTATCATCGATTTATAGTTTCTGTTGTATTATTCTTACTCTTCAATTAACATAGTATCTTATTTGCTGTTTTCATCACAGTCAAGCACTGAGCAAATACTCTCTGTAGCTCTTTATAATTACAGAGCACTTCACAAACATTATCTGAATTAATCCTCACAACACCCCTGAGGGAAATAGTAAACAGAATCCTTATTTTATAGATGGAGAAACTGAGGCAGGGAGATAAGTGACTTGCCCTAAGGACCCTGAGCAAGTCGGTAGCAGAGACTGGATGAGACTCAGCAGCTCCTGGCTTCCAGCCTCATGCTCAATCATATGAATGACCCTGCTGCTCAGATGTCTTCACTGAGCTATTCATAACGTTGCCTACAGCTTTTCCTTGATATGGGGACAATTAACTCAGAAATAGTACTAGAGTAGTTAGAGAATAAAACGAAGGCCAGGCCTTTATCTAGGAAAGTGTGGTAGCCCCCATACCTACCTGCTATTTAGCACCCCCAGGATCTCAAAGATGATGAGTTCAAACATGGTGCAGGAGAAGGCGAAGGTCACAGAGAAGACCACCTGCACCACATACTGTCGCACCTGTGATGGAGCAAACACGAGACAGGAGTCACTTCCATCCTCACACGGTATTGGCCAGGTACATATCAGACAGGGGAAATAAACCATGAGGTGCCTCAGCACAGAACAGGGTCTACACTTGAGGTGCCCGGACCTTGCCAAAACAGGAGGATAAACTGGCAGTTTGCAAGGAGCCAGAGGATTACATCCAGTTTGTACAACATTGAGCTGATTGTAGCTGCCTTTGTACTTAAGACAGAGGTGCTGTACGTAGAAAGACTACATGCTCCAGCATACAATGCATCAGGCCACATGAATCAAAATGGTGCATCACTTGCTGGGCCCTGTACTCTCAGCTGGCCCAACTCTGAATTATAGACATGGGAAGCCATGGATCATATTGCAATACTCTGTGCGACTACATTTGGCCTGCACTTTGGCCATTCGTAGCCTACTCAATACTCTCTCTCATATCCCTCCTATTTTGCTACACTGTCACAATTCTATTCCCCAATGGCTTCTTCCTAACAATCCAGTCACACTGTCCTCTTTTAACAGCTTTCCAAAATTTAAATTCAAGGGACACTATCAACTTAAAAATGTCTGTGTGAGAAAAAATTTTTACCTATGACTGTTATGAGGAACACTCACGGTGAGTATAACCAAAAGTGATGAGGAATATATATAAATATATATTTCCTACATTTTCAATTTGTTTATATTTAACAGCACTGTGTATGATAACTTTCACTGTTTCCCCAGTATTGTCCATTTCCCCTGTTATCTAGGTGGGTTTTTCAAATAGCAACAGAGGAGGAAAAACATTCTTTTTTAAGAACAGGAAAATGTAACTGTAAAATCACAAAAATACAGCTGAAAGGAGGTACTAGTACCCCAAGCTGTTTTTTACTGATTTTATTAAATGAACTAGATTTCAGTGTGACAGCTTCACTGTAAGATGTAGAGTCACAGTTTGAATGAAACAGCTCCTTCTCACCTCATAGTCTTTGAATAGCTTGCGCATGAAGAACAGCCATCCAAATCCAAAGAAGAGCACCTGTAAAAGAGACATTGGTTAGGAAGAAACTTGCAAAATGTGAAGTCGAAAGCTTCTGGGCAACATCAGGCAAAGCACTACAGCGCCTGGTCACATAGTTCCTATGTATCCAATAACCAGAGAGGTCCAAAACGGCTGTTAGCGTGGAGAGAGAGAGATTTTTAAGTGAGATGAAATGTAACTGAGACAGAGTACCACTGCCTTACTAAAGACCCAGTAATGCACAACTTTTCAATGAAAGGAGGCAGAGGAAGTGGGAAAGAGTCAAAACAAGCATCTAGGCTTCTAGGTATGAACAGATATTACAGAATTCATCTCTTTCACTAGACTAATGAAGACCTAGAATGCATTTTATTTTTACATAGCGGCTTTAACACACTCTCACAATGCTTTAGAACAGTGGTTCTCAAACTTTTGTATTGGTGACCCCTTTCACATAGCAAGCCTCAGAGTGTGACCCCCCCCTTATAAATTAAAAACACATTTTATATATTTAACACCATTATAAATGCTGGAGGCAAAGTGGGGTTTGGGCTGGAGGCTGACATTTCGCGACCTCCCCAGGTAATAACCTTGCGACCCCCTGACGGGTCCCGACCCCCAGTTTGAGAACCCCTGCTTTAGAAAGACTGGTTTTAAGTGAAAGAAAAAAAAGTTTAAGATGGCAAGCAGCTTAGAGGGAGGGGAAGGGAGTTACAAATAAGGCAGAATACATGAAAGCAAGAGCCTCATCTGTAAAAAGTTACAGGGAGAAGACAGATCAAGCCCAATAATGCTTTTCGCTTATACCTGTATAGTGCTTCTCATCAGAGATTCTCAAAGCAGAACACTTTACAAACTTGCATTAGCTAAGCCTCACAACACCCTTTCTGGAGGTAGAATAAATACCATATCCATTTTGGGGATGGATAAACTGAGCCACACAGAGGTTAGGTGACTTGGTCAAAAGTGAACTAGTCCGTTGCAGAACTAAGAATAGAACTCTGGAGCCCTGACTGCCAATGCCTTGCTCTAGCCACAGGACCACACCTGTCTCCCAGATGGCACAAAGGCATCAGTCTAAAAAACAGGTGGATAAAAGTTAAGAGAAGATGAACAGAAAGAATATGGATTCTTTTTTTAAATTTATTTTAAAGGGGTATTTTTGATGTCAGAGATAGGATCAGAAAGGCAGAACAGATGGCAGTGATCCAGTGTCACTTCCTAGAGCCGGGGTAGTCTGTTTTTTGTCAACGTCCCAATTTCTGGGTCAAGGTATAGTCAAGGTCCAGACAGACACCAGAGAAAATAATAAAAATAAAATAACAGCAATAATGATAATAGATAAGTAAATAAAAAGATTTTGGGGTCCTTTCAAAAGTGTCTGGAAGTCCAGATTTGACCCGCAGTCCGCCTATTGAGTACCCCATCCCTAGAGCACATTAAAAATTTGATAGCATTATGGACCCCTGACATGCAGAGAGCAGGGATTAAGGAGGAACAAAGACGTAAACAGTACCAAGCAGTAAATGAGCAACGTGAAAACAAATTCTGACTATGCTCCTGAAATAGAAGAATGACATTTACAGACAAAGATCTGGAAAGTATAAGCCAAGGAAGACCAAACATTTTTGCCTTAGCACCAAAATTATGAAACCAAAAGTATGAACTAAGGCGGGTGATTGAGAGCAGTCAGAGAAATCAGGACAAAAAGGACTTTAGTCTTTGAAGTGACTGATAGAAAAAGGTAAGACTTATTACCATCAAGCAGAAGGTTTGGGGAATGAGTTAAGGAAGTCTTACAGGTTTTATCTACATAAAGTGATTCCAAGGCAGAAGCTGGCAAGTAGCGGCTACAAAGGGAGCAGAGAAATACAAACTAGAAGATGATCAACACAAATAAATTTTTAGCTAAAAATATCAAGATTAGGGCTCCTTTGTTCCTGGCACTATACAAACACTCAGGAAGACACAATCTTAAGAGTTTAGTGTCTAATTAAGACACCACAAGTGATTGTGCCAATAATAAAGGGGTCAGAAGAGAAGAAGAATAGTAATAAATTGGCACAATTACATAGGCTAATTTAAGTACGCACCTTGATGTTTCTGAAGATGATGCAAAGCCTCCACCAGAAATGAAAGAGAAGCAATTTAAGAAGGTAAGAAATCAAATCAGAAAGTGAGTGAAAGGGAGACTTGCTTAAGGAGAACAGAGTGATCAACCAGTCCAAAAGCCACACTGAAATCAAGCAGGATAAGAAGAAAATGATGTGTCAACAGAGACAATGCACAAGCCATTACTATGCAGAAAACAGCCGCAGCACTATGAAATGATCAAAAACCAGACTGAAAGCAGTCAGGGAAGTTGTACCAAGAGAGGTAATCATAGAGGAAAGGACACTATTTTTTAAGAACCTGGATAAGGGGGGGAAAAGAGAAAGAAGATAGGACAAGTAACTAGCAAGTGAGGTAGGTTCAAGTAAGTAGGTTGTACCCCCCTGCAGATAACATTGTTTTGGCTCTAACAGGGCAATGTTATTTCAGTTAAAACGGATTAAGGACAGGATGGCAAGAGACACTGGAGGTTAATAAGGCTCCAAGTGAGATAGCTATGTCTACAGTAGAGACTAAATGAAAGATGACTGATGGAAACTGGAGGAAATGAAAGAGATGGAGATGGTCCTGGGTTGCAGGTGGATCAAGGGAGAACGATATGTCTGAGCTCCAACAGTTGTCGAAAAATACTTTCTAGAAAAAGATTAAAATCTTTCAAACTTGGAAAGCAAAATTGTAGCAGATTCTTCAAAGCTGTAAGCAGGAAGGAGAGGCCATGATTAACCAGCACTCTGGACAATGATAGAACCAAGACAGACAGTTCAAAGGACAGCAGGCTGAACTTTTCCATGGGTTCCCATACATGGAAAATTTGGATTTGTGCAAATTATGCTGGGTTATAGGAATTCAATTCTCAATAGCCTGTCACCCCATCTTGCTTGGAATCACAATCCGGAGATTAGTTTACTGAGCTGAATATTGTTTTAGTAATTAAAAAATCCTGATTGATGTTGAGATTTTTATAGTCTTATTCTGATGTGGACTATACATCACAGCAGCAGGTTCTCAACAAGGGCCATCAATAGGTCCAGGGAAGGTTACAACCACCTTCTTTCGTGGTTACAAGGGGGAAAGTCCTGATTGTTTTTTCCTGCTGAAGCATAGAGTCATGGCACTGAAAGGGCTGGGAACCACAAGCACGAGCAAAAGGGGAGAGCGCCGTAGTCTAAGCTAGCAGTGAAACTGCACTCCCACTGGGCCACTGTATAAATGGGGAGCCCCTTCGCCCCATAGCCCTGGGGATCGCAGTGAGCCAGGAATAGTCACCTCGAGGCATGAGGGCGGATTCTGCTGGCTTGTGAGACGCAGCGCAGCGCGTGCCCGGTGACAGGGCAGGATTTGGGGAGTGTGGAGAGAAATTTGGGGGCCTCCTCCCGTTTCACTTTCTTCACACAGATGTGACAGACCTTTGGGGGGGCAGCGCTGGGGGCCCGGGACCATCCCCCCCCCTTTGGTGAGCGCCGTGGGGGGGGGGGAGGGGGAGGAACCGCGTCACACGAAGCTGGGGTCAGGGCTGTAGCACCGCCCCCGCCGGCGCGGGGCCCAGCGATGGGGGGCGAGAGGGCCTCGGCGTCCCAGTCAAACAGCCCCCGGAGCCGCCGGGTCCGGGTCCGCGCCCGCCCCGCTCCGGCACCGCCTGCCCGCGCGGGGCCCGAGCCCGGGCGGTACCTGGGAGGTGACCATGATGCCGGAGTCGATCAGGAAGCTCATGGCGGCAGCGGGGGGAGGGCCGCTACCCGGACCCGCCACCGGCCGCTCCGGCTCCCAGCCTGCGCGCGCCGCGCTCTCGACCCGGCCCCGCCCCCTCCCCCCGGGCCTGCGCGAGTGCGCGGGCGGGGCCAGCGGGACGTGTGAGCTCCGCGGGGAGGGGCGGGGCCAGGCCGCAGGGGGTGGGGCCGGGATTTCGATTAGAGGGCGGGGCCAGGCAAAAAGAGCGGGGCCTGAGAGTTCTGCTTGGGGCTGGGCCAATGAACGGGGGGCGGAGCGGGAACTGTGCGGAGGGGCAGGGCCTTGGAGCTGAGGCATCCTAGCAAATGTTTTGTCCAGTGCCTGTTATTTGTTTCATTTTCACTAGCACCTACATTGCAAACCAACCGCCCTCTTCGTGGAAGAGTTTTACGCTAGAACTTGTTGAGCAGATAAAGCTTGCTAGATTTAAGAGACTATATAAACCCGGCAACTCACCTAAGTATCATTTATCCCAGTGTTTGGTCATCACATAGATGTAAAGCAGAGGATCCCAAACGGTGCTCTGCTGGGAGCTGGCTGGTTCATATAGCATAGTTTGTCTTTATTTGTAGCTGCTAAACTGCATTAAATAAACTGAAAAGACGTTAAACACTTTCCTAATTTCACTTTCTCCATGTGAGTAATTGCTGTAGTTACCAAAGGGATGTGGAGGGGAGATGGCCAGTGCTATTATGAATAGAAAGGTTCATGATTCTCCATGAGTTGTGGTCCACACTCTATATAAATTGTGCAACAGTTAGGAAAAGCAGTATTGTGGAAAAATTTACCACGCGTTGTGTTTGGATCAGAACAGCCTAAGGCCAGGTCTACACTAACCCCCTAATTCGAACTAAGGTACACAACTTCAGCTACATGAATGAATAACGTAGCTGAAGTTCGAAGTACCTTAGTTCGAACTTACCTTGGTCCACACGCGGCAGGCAGGCTCCCCCATCGACTCCGCGGTACTCCTCTCATCTAGCTGGAGTACCGCAGTCGACGGCGAGCATTTCCGGGTTCGGCTTATCTCGTCCAGACAAGACGCGATAAGTCGAACCCAGAAGTTCAATCGCTCGCCG